CACGCAATTAAATTTCAGGAAATCGTCTCTTCTCGATCCGAATTTAATTAAAAACATTTTGCTCAGGAAGAACGGAAGGATGTGAGTTTTGACACACAAGAATGGTCACCTGGAAAAGTGTGTACTAAAATTGGAAGAGTTTTGTTTTCTATCAGACTTGCATTACAAATATGAAGGACATGAAAAGGGAGAAAAAGCTTTAAGTGAGACCTTTTAGAAAACAATAACTTATCCATTACGCATCCGATTCAATAAATAAGCACCATTTATGAATCTACCACATCCGCAAACTTTTGAGACATAATGTAGCTAATATGGAATAGAAGGAATACCTTTTCGTAATTTTAATAGCCTTCAATTTGCATTAAAATATCGTGAAAATAAGGATATACATACAAATTTGGGCCGACTTTTGACCGAAATTATGAGGTTATCCCTTTAAGAAATTGCAAAAATTGAGTCAAATTTTAGTGTTCCAGGTTTTGAAGGAAGATCTAAATTCGGGAAGATATAAAATTTGTCGATCGGATAATTATAAGCAAAAATATGGCAATTTCCCTCAAATAAATAAAATAGATAGATAAATAGATAAATCAAATAAATATCGAAGATCTGAGATCAGGAAGGTAACACCATTTATTGAACTGGCAACTATAAACCACGTTATTGACAGCTACCTGAAATTAATCAACTATTTACCCAAGTTGCAAACCTTAAATTTTAACCTTAAGCCCTAATTTTTTAGTTTTAAGTTAATTTGAACCAATTTTTGTTATAATATTGGCTTAAAGCCGCTAAGTTCTCAGCACTGAGTTGGCATCAGAAGTTAAACGCCGGCCACTGATATTCATTTGTGTGAGAGCAAACAGGAGCCAGCTGAGTAACGCTAAACAAACACAAACACTCGAGCAAATATGCTACACCAGCAATGGCACACACATGTTGATACACATAAATAGCCACACCCCCATGTAGCTACATATAAACGCGTTGATTTCTCAAAACCAAAGTCATCCAGCCATGTGACCAACAACTAGCAACAAGCCAGGATTCGCAGCAGATGGGTTGTGGGCTGAAGGATGTGGGCGGTTGGTGCCACTCTTTGTGGCAGGCAACGCATGGCCTTGTCAACAGAATTGGAGGGGGGATCTTGGGGGCGCCACAGATAGACAACCATAAATATGAATGCATGCTTTGGATAAGGGGTGCGTGAGGGGCAGGAAAGCCGCCGGTCCGGCTTGTTATTTACAACCAGCTTTCAGATCTTGTGGCATAATTTAAGCACCTTGTTTAGCCACTGTTTATGGTCGACTCATGTCAGTGGTCCATCTGCCAGAGGATGCACCAAAAAACATTCATAAAATATACACAAAAATTAAAGTTTTCTTAAGGATGTATAATAAATAAATAAGACAAATGATACATTTTTAAATCGGTCCCAAAAGCATACAGAAAGTTATAAGGAAAAGATTATGATCTCATAATTTTCTGAAAAAACCAAACCCTATCCTTATTTCTCGTAGTGTATTACAGCACTCTGCATAGACAAGTGGTGCTGCATTTCTTTTTGGGGTCACGGGGTCAACGAGCTGGTTGGTCAACGCACACATTCATCAAGCCAGGCCGAGATGGTGCTGGCCCTATGCCACTTTAAATAATTTATAAATGCGACAAATGACAAAAAGTGCTTGGCCATAAAGTTGCTCGGCAAAGGATTTAGGACCTGGCCACGCCTTCAAATGCTACTTACGCAAATCAACAAACAAATCAACAGGACAAACGTGGAAATCCTTTGCCAGAGCTCTCTCAAACGACTCCTCCTCACCCTGTCTCCTGTCAGCTGAAAATTCGTGTTCGGCTATCAAATTGTAAAATGAAAACCGCTGACTTATTTTCCACTCCAACACAAATGTGTGTGGGTGTAGGTGGGTGTGTTGACTGCCTGGCATTATGCAAACACGACAGATCCTTGGCAGAGCAAAAAAAAAAAAAAAAGGAAGAAAGGAATAAAAAAGTAAACCCAAACCTTTCTTCTTTTCGCTCTTGCGTGCTTTGAGCATTCAACGTGTTTTGTCCTCGCATTTTTTCGCAAGTTGAAAATTTGCAAACATTGGAGCATGTGCTGGTAGAAAAAAGTAAAAAAAAAAAATGGCAGGAAATGGGAGGGGTGAAGGGTTAACCATGGAAGACACCTGCGAGTTCTTGGAAGCTAAACGTGGCACTCTTGCAGTTATGAATTGAAAGTGACGGAAATGATTTCATTTTATATATTTGAGGATTTGATTAGGGTTTATCAGTGCAGATATACACTTCATTTAAGGTTGATTTTAAAGACTTAAATTGCAAAAGCTCTGTAAACTAATCTAATTCTCCCCCATATAAATGGCTTTAATCGGGAGTGCTGATGCCGTGTATCGTATTGATCGCCAGGCCATTAAATATGCATTTACTGATATCGCCTAAATCCGTAGCGAAAACAGCTTATGTGGCACTCACCGTGTCTGTGCCACACACCGTCCGTGTTGTTGTATATCATATGCGAGTACATGTTTGCTTATATATATGTGCGGTTGACAGTCGTAAAGAAAATACATGGAAATCCGAAAAAAATCACCCAAGAATTGAGAAAACAAAACAATAGAATTTAAATGATTTTAATGCGACCATTGAATTTTATTGAAGCCGACGGATGTCGAGGAATTTTCGGTGCTTGGTTATGAGCAGTACGGGTATTCATACCGCACCCTGCGCTGCACCATATGAATATCAACACCAATACAAAAACCCACCATTCGCACTCTGACAATAATAATAATTGTCAATTGCAGCAGCTGACGCACAGGCGGCGGCGCACACGAGTGTCCCATTCTTTTTTTCATATTCAATTTCAAATGAAATTTTCATGTCACACCCGGGCAAACATTCCGCCGCCCTTCTATTCACTTCTGGTGTAAAATTCACGTTAGCTCTTTGCCAACTTAATTCTTGGCGAGAATGGTTAGCATACTTTGTTGGGCAGATGTTGTGCACTAGTTTTTGTTCTTGTTTGGCGAATTTTTATGCGCCGTGATATTAGCCCAGTCCTGAAGATATGTGCGGTGCTGTTATGGATAAAGTTGAGCTATTTTGGTATTAAGCTGAGCTGCTTTGCCACTGAGCTGCTTACATGGTATTTGCATATTGGCCTGTCCATCGTATATTTTGATTAGAAATTGCTTCGGGTTTGCCTCAACACTTTTCCCTCCTCCCCTAACCCAAGTCGAAGGCTGAACTTGTGAGCTCCGGGCTTGGAATGTGGCCTTGTTTCGGAATTTTGGCATAATCAGGCATTTAAAATTCATAAGGATTAATATTTCGTGTGCGAGTTGGCCTTGAACGTGGGTCGTATGGCTACGGGATTAGGTATTCCCTTTCTACAGTTTGATATTCTTCAAAGCAATTCAATATCATTTGTGTTCTTGGAAGACGTTATTGTGTTGTTAAGCTCTTTGAAGATGTAATTATTAAGACTAAAGATGACAAAGACTATAGATTTTACTACAGTTAAGAAATTAGAAAATTCTTTTATTAAAACACAAACGTATTTTAAATCTGATTCATTTCGACATTCGACTCTCCACCAATCAATTCTAGTCTCTGGCTGCTTTAATTTCATTTGGTGTTTTCGGGCGGATGCCCAGGGGGTTTGGCTGCCTAACTGCATCACTTTGAGTGCTGTCAGACGGCAAAGTACGCATAATGCAAATGCTAATGACATGTGCTCACAGCCCGACCAAGACCCCACGGAACCCGCAAACAACAGCCATAATAGGCCCATAACAACATTATCATTAGCCGGTGCTGGCAGAACATTAAATTGCAATTGTTGTTGCTGTGCATTTCGAGGCGATGGGTGGGGTGGGGGCGTGGCATTTGCAATCGGGGCATGTAAATGCATGAGTCTAATTGATTTTGTTCCGTGCGGCGACAAAAGCGTCCTTTCGACGCCGTTCACACGGCGTATGCGTGATGCCAGTGCTGATAAAATGCATTTTAAAGCCGTCTTTAGACATTAGCAGCATGTGTCCCAGCCACCTGGGCGCTCGCTCTGCCAACTAACTCGTTTCGTATTATGTGTTTGCTCACAAATTTCATTTTGATGAAGCCAATGTGTGTGGCAATGTGTGTGCTCAGCAGCCGAGAGTTGTTGGCCTTAAACTAGCTCAAAAGCCCCAGCTGAGTGGCTGTCCCTGGGACCCGCCTCCTTCCACCATCCCGCTTTCCCACTTCAGCTGCCCCCGTCATTAGCATATGTAGTTGAGGGTTCCCCCAAACAAGACAAGCAAAAAGTGTACAGCTTCCCAACATCACATGAGCATGGTACATTCTATATACCCCCACCATAGGCCCTTTGGGCCACCCCAGTCGCCCTCCGCCCATCGCCCAGCCAGCTTGGTTTGAGTTGAGCTGACAGGCGAGCTGTCAAAGCGGATTTTAGAGCACTCGTTGCCAGGTAAACAAAAACAGGACATCAGGATGGCCAGGATAACGAACGCCAGTTGCTCTTGATAGCAAATAATGGATAGAATAGTAGAATAGATATAAGTTACATAAGGATGTGAATTTTTGAAATATAATTAGTAATTAAATTTGTAAAAATATTTTTTTCAAACAGATTAGAAAATTTGAAACACCCAACTAACTAAATGCAGTGCAAACACCTGTCATGGGTTGAGTGTTGGCCAAAAGGGTTTAACTGCGTATCTCACTTGTTTCTGTTGTGTTGTTGTTGGTTTTGTTTTCGCTTTCACTGTGGCGGTCTGCCCTTGGCCAAAAATGCATTGTGTTGGCATATTCACGTTCGGGCCGTCGCTCTGCGGCTAAAATTTTGACAGCCGCCAGCTCGAAGGACGTCATGGGACCCAAATACCTTGTTAACATATCGCACAAGGATATAAGGTACTCCATGCTTCGTATACTTAATTTAGTTTAAAATGCAGGACAACCACACAAAGTTTGATGAAAGGCGTGACTCCGAGCTTGTTTATTTAGGACGTCTTTACCTGCCAAAGAACAATTAACATTCTCTCCGAGATTTACAAACTTTCTAAGCCAAGTCTTTTAAAGGCACATGGTGCTAATTTGCGTTGGCTTCTCAGCGGGATTGCCATCGTTATCAACCAGTAAATGGACATCAGAATATTTGATTTTATCCAGCTCGGCATACACGCTTTTGCTAATAAACAATTCCGGGTACTGCCAAAATATTTTGTTTAAAGAAAAACATATTAACAGTTAAACAATTTTGCTTACCATTTTGGCCATTTTCCAGCAATCCAAAGCTCTTTTGTTTAATTGCAATTTCAGGTTGATGGTCGCCAAGTAACCCCAGACATCGGGAACAAAAATCTCCATTTCAGTGCAGCGGGACAAATATGAAATCGAGTCTTGCAGGCGATTTAGCTAAGAGCGAAATTATTACAGGGTTTAACTCAGTAATGCTTTAAAAACTCACATGATAAAGTGTTAATCCTTTGCTATAGTTTGCAATAAAACTTCTATGTTTTCTGTTAGACGGTACACAAATATCAAAGGCCTCATTGGCCAACTCATAGTTGCCCCTCTCAAAGGCCAACTGTCCCAGCCTCATAAAACTCAGCTTAAAGAGTAACCTATCATCTGCCTCGGTTATGGCCAGAAGCTGCTGAAAATATTGAAGGGCCTCATCACAACGCCCCCTGGCATATTCCACATTGCCATTAATGTGAAGTTGATAGCAGCGCTTTGAAGGATATATAATTTAAAATATAAATAGTTATTCAAAGAAAATTTTATAACTCACCATTAAGGGGGCCGTCACAGCATTGGTTGTGGGAATATTCAGAATTGTAAAGGTCTCATCGATCTGTCTTTGCAATATCTTCAGAGTAGTCCTTATAAGATACACCTCCGAAGGTGAAAAACAAGTTTCTATTTCCGCAAAGACAGTTTCGGCAAATACATAAGCCCCCAATCTTGCAAATAGTTTGAAAACTGGATAAAAGTGTACATTCATGGTCGTGCTACTGCTACTCATTGCAAAATCCACCGGCATGTACAATTCGTATAGAGAGCGCGGAGTGAATGAGAAAATTTTTCCAGGAATCTCATAGAGATTCTCGAACTTCCAGCGTGTGTACTCCATGCCGGGCAAATAGTTGTTCAGCTTATAATAGCAATAAAGCAAGATCCATGGTTCAACCTCCAAGCTATTCTTGGTGGCCAATTGTCGCAGATTATCCAATAAATTTGAGTAAGACACGGCTTGGACTTCCTCGTCCGTCGATCGTAGATCCATCATGTAATCAACATAGACCTGCAGCAACTGGCTGTGCTAAAGAGAGACTGTAGTTATATTTTATGTAATTTTTGTCTGAAAAGTAACTTGATTTCTCACGTAAAATATACGCCACTCCATTCACTCGATCGTGGCTTTTGAAAATATCTAGCTGCTTGAGCAAACTGCAAATTCTCGACGCTGTTGAGCAGAGTTACATAGTCAAAGTTGATTTGGCTGGTGGTTTGGTTCTTAATTTCCCCGTACATCTGAATGGCCATGTCCCGGAGACCGATTTGGGACACCATTCGCATTTCATCCATCAGGCGAACTAGATTTAGCTGATCATATTCCTGTTCTAGATTATTATCGCAGCATTGCCAGGAGCAGTTATTCAAAATCCCCTCAACACGTTCCATAAGCTCTTGATACATGTGGGTTAGCATTTCCTAAAAATCCAATAAAATATATAAATTTTTTATTCTACTAATGATATCCTGAAACTCACTCTAAATTCAATATTAGTTGATGTGGGCATCCGAACATTAAAATCACAACCGCAGATCTTTAGCAACAAGTTGCTGAGATTTCCCAACTGGCAACAGAAGAAATCACGTTTCTGATCAATACTCTCCACCTCTCGCTTTATAATAAAGCTGATCATATCCGAGATGAGCTCATCAAAGGCTCTATACAGTTCCAGTAGAACATTGCGATTTTCCTCCTCTTCGTTTTCATTTAGAAACTCTATATCGAAACAGCGACGTAGCTTGGCTCTTTTCAGAAGACTTTCGTTGAACTTGTCGAGGGGTTCATTCCTTTGGCAGAGCGGTTGAAAGAAACAAATCTTAAGAGTGCAGAACATAGGACCTATTTGCCAGGTAGTCCGTGGAGACTCTGTCGCTTCTTCTGGATTCTCCAGGATGGGTTTTAAAAGTGTCGCAAAACGGCAATAGTTAACTATGAAAAAAGTAAATGAAATTTTTGATTCGCGAAAGTAAAAACTTACCTCCTGGATAGCCAAAAATACTGGGATTTATCACACCTTCGTACAAAACATTTTCGGGGACTTCTTGATAAAATTGCACCAACAACTCATAATCGTTGTGAACCACCGCCTCCTCGAGAATCTTTCGCATATCCTCGTTTATTACAAAGCGATGCAAGGAGTTGTTAATCAAAGCCAAATCCGTTACAGGATCGATGAGATGCAGGCGAAAGTTCACATCCTTTTCCCACAGAAGCATCCTGAAGATACGAGGTAGCTTAATGCGAGAATTGGTTTCCATTTGGTTGGAACTGAAGTTGGTGTTGGGGTTCAGATCCCGCTTAATGTTTTCCCAGACGATGCTCGTGTTCTGGTCACTAATGATCTGGGACAGAAAGCCAAAGTATGTGCACAGTGGTATGACTGGAAAAATTCCTTCCTCGCCCTCAGGATATCGAGACCGAAAGGACAGTTGTATGCCCAGTTCCGCAGATTTGTGGTGCAGCTCCTCCGGAACATTGTAGATCGATTCCAGCGTCAAAAAGGCCAAATTGGTAAAGTTAAACTCCTTGAGGATGGGCAGGATCGAGTACATGTGCCATATACTGCAAGATGTGATCTTCTGATTGCCCCTGGCCTGCAATAGACTGTCATACTCTGGATACAAGAGGACAGTGACGTCGCTGATGAATCGGCGACGCTGAAAAAGTTGCAACAAATCGCAGTGTCCTCGGGACAGGAGCTCCAAGCGTTCGGGCACCCAACCGTAGTCCTCTTCCATGTCGCCCTCTAGTATGTCTCCTAGAACGGAGTCGGATGATTTCTTGCTAGTCCTTGACCTCCTAGTCTTCTTTGGGCCAGTAGCTTCGTTGGCCTCCGAAGTTTCTGTGCCACTTCGCGACTTCATGGTCTCAGAATCTCCTTTGCGATGAGCCGGAATCTTTTGGTACAAACTAATCACTAGCGGACTATCGCTAAAGATATTCATGTCCTCGATATCGTCCTGCAGTACACCCATGGCAAAGACAGGCTTCTGGAGATTGAATTCGTGCTGATAAATAATTGTCTCTGTGGTGTATTTTTCCTGCATTTTTTGCAGTGTATGTTTGGAGTGATACAAATGCAGTTCCAGCGGATACCCTGTTTCCGGTAACTTGGTCAGTTCGTTCAACTGGATGTAGAGAAATACCCTTTGCTGTATTTTTTGTTTTGTGGCCTCTGCTCCTTCTTGGTTCTCTCCTGTCGTCTCTTCTTCTATTTCCTCCTGCTGGCCGGCGGAGGACCGTCCTTGAACAGCACGTTTTCGACGCGTTGTCCTGGAAGTCCTGCGGACTGTGTTCTTGGCGGTAACAGTGCTTCGTTCCATTGCGAGTGCTATTTAATATAATATAGGTGTGCTGGGGAAAAACTTCAAACTGATGTGTTGATCGACTCATGAATGCATGGAAACTTGATGATTTTTTGAAAGAGATAGGCAATAAAATATACCCTTTATTATTTTAAAGCTCTCGCTTGAAATAAATCCTTGAGAAATCAGATACGAAATAAGATCTCAAAACACACGCTGAAACATTAAAATTGTTTTCAAAAAAATGGTTACTTACCCGCACTTTGAGGCTCTCAACGTTTTTTATTTACAGATGGCCAAAAACAAAATAAAATGCGCACACACAAAAATGTTTTATGTATTTTGATGCCGACGCCGCGGGATTCTAAACAATAAACACTTCAACAAGTTGGTTGCTCCGTTTTCTGGGAACTGTCTGGGCCAAGAGTCGTATGGCATTTGGTCGGGAAATGTGAGGGCTTTATGGCTCGCAGACGAAGTTTTATTAGACACGGTGGGGTCGTAAACAATTTTTTGGAAAAGTGTTAAGAAGATTTCGCCACGAAGCCCCCAGCCCTGTGAATATTGTATGACAGGTTGGATTCGCTCCTCAAACTAACATCTGCTGCACCCGAGGATTTCATCTAATCAGACATGGTAAGTACAGTCATCTGTGAAGCCATTCCGCCACTGCATTAGGGTAATGAGAGTACAATGGATTTATCGCCTTCTCAAGGATATTTTTTCTCCTTATTCCCCTCCTATTAGAAGAAAACCATTGAAAGACATAACAATTAAAAGGCAAGCAGTTGCCAAGTAATTAATTCCCTCGGAGGAGACAAGTGGCAGAATAAATTGAATTGAATGCACAGAACTAGGGGCAAAGAGACTCAATTTATTTGATTTCATTTTCCCTCTCGTTTCGTTGTTTTGTGTTATTTTTATTCATCAAAAGTTTGTTGTACAAAGTCAATGGAAATGCATTTTTTAAATTAAACTTCTGCAAAAGTTTTTCCCATAAATGTGCACACACGTTGACGTAGCGACAAGAACAATAATAAAAAAAAGTGCCAGCGAAATAAAAGAACAAAAATTAACACTTGACCTGTAACTGGATGGGGAAAAAAGCCATATAAAAATATTGCAAATTTATACAAGCCAAAGGGGCAAAGGATCTGCAGCATGAGGCAGGAGGTTGGAATTTCAGTGCGTAAACTTATGCCATATATTGCATTTATAACGTGCCCAGCGCTCCGAATATTATTATTATTTAAATGTGGGTCAGACGGAATTTGCTTAGCGCAATTTTCGGCCAACCGGGAGCTCCCGGCCGCCCACTCAAGACTCCTTGGCTGCTGGCCCCACAGGACCTTATGCCAAAAGGAGGCAGCGGTGCACTTAAAATGCAGCTCTCACAACTTTAATATAACTTAATCCTTTTTGTGGCGCCTCATTGTGCATGGATGTGTATGGGTGTGGGGACGTGTGTGTGTGTGTAACTTACGAATTATGGCGTTAATACCACTGTGTGCTTATGAGCCTTTCCCAGCATGCTGTGTGTGTGTGTGTGTTTGAGCTCTTGTTACTTTAGCAAGTTGACTTTAGGGATCATCATTAGAAGGAGGCAAGAAGGATGTGACGGAGAACAGTTCGTGGTTGGAGGTTCTCTGGTAAAAGTCCGATGACGTTGGGAACTTATTTTTAGAATGTTAATTATCCCGATGTGTATGAGTGGAGCAAGATTCTCAGGATATGCACGGATTAGATTCAAAGTTACTTCTTGCTCTTTTTACATTTCTTTAATTATAACCATTTCTGTGGCAGATATATATTTTCTATTTATTTTGTGGTTTTACCATGAGGAGTGTCAAAAGCCACTGCAAAATCGGAAAACCACTACAGGAGTGATAACACTCCACTCCTGGAAAAGCGTTGCTGCAGCGGTTGCATCTCGGTGGCCAAAAAAACGGATACGAGAAGGCAAATCCCTTCCCGGTGGCACACGTATGTGGATACGATTACAAAATGCTGGAAACGGAATTTGCAAAATGTCACGTATGAAGCTCGTTGGTAACTAAGATGAAAATTCACCTCCGAATGACAAGTCGAGGCGGAGAGCTTTGGAAAATTATGGCAATCTCTATTGGAAGTGTATACAAAAAAAGGGAAAACTACATTATTAGAACTAGTTCTGACGATTTAGCGGTCCAAAATATTTGAAACTTCCATCCACCAACACCTAGGGGTAATACTATCCGATCTAGTCGGTAGGGCTCCAGCCGAAAGTATAGGGCTTGCTGATGTCCGAAGGCTGCATCATGGCATAGCCCCCCCATCCGCTGGTATCGCCGCTCGGCTGCGGATGATAGTTGGTGTAACCGTAGCTATTGCCCGAAAACGCCTGCAGATGCACCTGCTGCTGCTGCAATTGTTGCTGCTGCATTTGGAAACTGCTGCTGCTGTTGCATCAGGGCCAACATTCGCATCTGGTCGACTGTAGCATTTTCGGAAAGGTTTGGTGCAAGTGCTGGGCCAGGGACTGGAGCAGAATAGGGCCCTCCGGAAAGACAGGGTGGGGCGAGGCCTGGGGCAGTTCCTGCGGCTGGTACCGTCCAATTTCCGAAGGCCTGCTGTGTTTGAGGCTGTTTAGGAGCCTTGTACGATTGCCTGGGAGTTCCTGCCAGTCCGCCACTTCTTTGATAAGAGCAGATGCCCGACTGGCCGGTATTTCGCATCTGTGCCCGCTGGGCGGTATGGAGGCAGGGGGCACCGACGGATTTATGACGCTGCTTCTGCTGCTGTTGCTGATGCTGGCACATTGACTGTGGCGGTTGCTGACCCATCGACTGTGGCGATTGCAGATACATTCCGTAACCCATACCTGGATACATCGGCCCGCCGTAAGCGATTCCGTTTCCGTACACAATCATGTCATTCTGCGGAATTTGACGCTGACCTTTGCGTTGCCTTTGACCCACTGCGGCCGGTTGATTGGCACCTGACCTGTGCACACTGGACATCCTGGAGTTTTGTATATATATTTTTTTTGAAACTATTACTGGAATTTCGACAGCCAAATTTTATACAGCCTGACACCGAAACTTTTGTCTAAATACTGGTTATTCTGGGCATTGCGTACTGACATCCAAACCAAAGCCAGCTATCCCCTTTCAAAGGCTCATTAATTTGCCACATGAAGTATTTCCTAGGGGTTCAAAGGGCTTTGTATTACGGCTGAGCCTGTCAAAGGATCTGTCGCCTTATCAGCACGTACAGAGAACAAAATAAACACCAGAAGTAGGGGGCATTTTTAATTAAAACAAGGGAGTACTTCAAGCAGACTGACTAGACAGTCTAGATGCAAAACAAAGTCATATGGCACGTAGTAATGAAGATAACCAAAACACTTGGAGATTTCAACATTATCTTAAGAACTGGTTAAAGGATCCTAGCCAAGCAAAATTAAAAATCAAGATGCAGAAGCACTTCCTGATTCTCCTGTCAGTTGCCTCGTAACTCCCAAAAGTCATAAGCCTACAAAAAATTAACAAAAAAATATTCAACAGATTTTGGGAAACACCAGTTTAGGCCTAAACCTTTCACAAAAATTTTAACCAAACTAGTGAGTAACCAGAATAGTCTCCTCTTCCAACCATTTAATCAAACTCCGCAGACAATATCCCGGACCTTTGACCAACATGTTTCCCGATGAGTTCGACAACCAGCCCTTCGATCCCTTCAACGTGGGTCCGCCCAACTCGGGACTCCGTCTGGACTACGATATTCCCACCTGCTGCTCATATCCACCACCTGTATTTGTCGCCAAGCCGGAATACGTTAAGGCGGCCAGGGAACAGAAGGCCCTGTTGGCCGGCTCCCAGGCCTCGCTCTCCCGGAGCAGCAAGCTCAAGGCGGATCCGTCCCAAATCGGCGAGGTGGCCATTTCAAAGGCCATTAACGAGGAGATGACCCTGGCAAAGAAGCAGGCGGCTGCCATCCACGAAAACGCGCGCATCAATGCAGGCCGGGAATCAAAGGTGAACGTTTCCCAGGACGAGGCGGTCTCTGTCAAGGACTCTGTGCGCACTCTGCTGCCCGTGAAGTCGAAGCGTCAAACCAGTGGGGAGGGTGAGGTCCAAAGCTCCGAATCGGATTCAAGTGTGGGCAGCAAAGTGTCCCAGATCAGCTACAAGGCCTCTAGAATCTCCCAAGCCGGTTCCGCGACAGCTTCCAGTACCACTCTTACACCAAAGTCGATTTTGAAAAATCCCATCTCGTTCAAAGACGCAGTGAGATCCACCATAAGCATGAAATCAAAGGTATCTGCCACAAACCACCTGAAACCCAGGGCTTCAGAGAGATCCACAAGATCCCATACATCCCAAAAAAATGCCGAAGCAACTGCTTCAAATGCCACAATCAAAAACTCGATTGTATCCTTAAGAAAAGATAAGGAAACCGCGTCAAAAGCTTCGATAAAATCAAAAACGAGTGAAGCTACATCCAGGATTGGACTAAAGGAAAATTTCAATAAACTGACGCAGAATTCGGAATCCTCCATTGGAAAGTCCTTAACGGAACAAGTGGCCGATTTGGCAGATCGCCTAAACGCCGGAAATGAGCCAAACTTTAGGCGTTACGACTCGGTGCTTCGAAATCACTCCATTTCCGAGCCAAAAAAACTGAATCATGGGGATCGTATGACTTTCTGGTTCAGCGATGCGGTGCTTTCATAAAACAAAAACTATTTTTTAGCGCAACAATTTAAGAACGTTACTTTAGCTTGCGTTAACCGGAAACCATATAAATAAAAATTAGTAGTTTTCATATTCAATCTATTTAACAAGAAAAAAGTACAAAAAATTGAACGCAAAACTTGATTTGCGGTTCGACAGTTTTTGGTTGACATTCGGTGTCATTAATTCAAAAAGCGGTAGGAAAAAATATATTTGCGGTCACTGGTCCATATTGAAAATGCAGAAACCCAGCAAAAATTATGCGCTTAAAAAGAGGTCAGACATAGTTTGTCCTCGTCACTGTAAATTGGAAAGTATTTATTCGATCATTAAAAATTCAAGCCAACTGAAAAATAAACCAAAATTTATTATAATTAAAAAAAAAACAAAACTAACCTGTGTTTCCGAAAATAAAACGCAAATTCAATCCGATTATTCAAACAGATCACTGAACAGGCAACCCAAATTATCAAAAATAATGCAAAAATAGTGTGCAAATCGTTTTGTTCGGTTATCAAATTAATGGGAGAGCTCCAGTTCGCTGGAGCGTTGTGTTTGGGCCATTGTGGTTAATTTTAGTTTATTTATTACAGCGCAGAATGCTAATTGCAACTGCCAGAGGACGACAACAATGTTAGTTGCTGGTTTGTCGGTAGCTGCCTAATCAGCATCAGTGTTTCGCCCTCGGGCCCCTAATTGTGGGCTTCGCAAAATGCTTTCGCAGAAAAACGGACGGCCAGGGGGAAGTGAGTGTAACAATTATAATAAATGCTTGTGGCTTACATTTAATTGCATGTCAATTTGTAAGCCACTGGCCCGAGCACACTCGTCCGTAAGTAGGACACAATAAATGAGGCAAGTCCTGGCTGTGTGGGGGGCAGAGGCGCAAAATATTTATATGGAAATGCGGGGATTTTTATGCTTGTACTTGGACAATAAAGGAAACAACTGCAATAATGGCCACGGCGCATAAAGTACCAGAAATAACAGCAACAAGCAACTTTCCTAAAGTGCAAAAACCACCAACACCAAAAACACCAAAGGGCTGGCAGGCCAGCAGGCTGGCTGGGCTTCGAAATGAAACAAACGCTGAGAGAAAAATATATTTAATACGAAAACTTTTGCAATAACGGAAATGAAATGGAAATGGACGCGCGCCAATAGACATAAATGCGACTGTAAGTACACAGTATATATAAGTGTGTGTGTGTGTATGGGAGGACCCATTGGCAACAGGATACAAATAGGACACGGCAGTCGGCAGAGCATCCAGCAACTACAACTACAAAAAGCCACAATCCCCGATGCTGGCCGTGTAAAACAAAAGCGCCATCGCACAATGCAAAAACAAACAGCGAAAACCAACACGGATCTCAAAAGTAAAACTAACAACAATATCCGCAAAAAGCAATTGCACAAAGGCGAGCTGCCACCGCCATCAGATGCAGCCCACATTGCGCCTATAAAGAGCATAAAATATTAAAAAAGGTGCCTCTATATAGGCTTTCTTGGGTTTGACTAAAAATAGGTATAACATTTTTAGAAATAATACTGGGTCTAAAATAAAAAAAAAAAACTTCTAACTAATGCCTTGTCTTACTTCTAAGAGGAAACTAAAACATATTTGGCTTGAACACACACTTGAATTTGTCGCAATGCAGATATTATGCACACTAGCCGAGACCTTTTTGTGGCCGACACACAGTGCGTATGCGTAATAAAATTAACGTAGACTGTGACACATGGTCGCCCCCAGGCTGAGGTACAAGCGGCAGTGAATAATGTTTGCTTTTGAGTTGAGGGCGTGTTGAATGTTTGCCTTTATTGGCCATTAATGAAAGCATAAATACAAAATCGGCTTGTGACACTAACGACAGCCTCGAGCGACTTTCGGCTGTCTGTTGGCTTATGGCCTCATTAATAATAGTTTCATTTTGATGTGAAGCCAATTTTGAAATATTATAGGCCTGGCACAAGCCGAGGTAATACAATTTTCCAATTCACATTTATCTGACAGGGTCAAAGCCTGAGCATTTTATGCAGTGTCCTGGCCTGCAGCTGCAGTTAATTACCACTGACAAGTGCCAGTGATGGAATTCAATTAACCAATCCTAAGCCACTCTAAGGAAAATGCTCCCAAGGCTACCGCAAATTCACAATTTATAATTACTTTGTGCGAAATAGAGAATTATTAATGCCCTTTTGATTAAATCAGTGAATCTGTAGCGAGCAAATAACCATTTTTAATGGCTAGCACTGCGTGAATAATAGATGACTGATTATTAAAAATCCCCCAAGGCATCAGTATTCTCTTTAATTCATTAAATTTAATTTTTAAGCTGCCACATTTTTATACAGCTGTGTATTCTTTTATTTTTTTATAAATACATTTACCATATAACTGCTTTTTCAATTAAGTCTAAATGCAGTTGATTAACAAATTCAATTTGCACGCGGCGGCTGCGGTCAGGAAAGAATTTTTCGCCGATGCAGCAAGACGTGCACAATTATCAGCGAGCCATTAAAACATTTGCTTTATTATCTGGCGCATTATTGTCCGCCTGCTAAAAAGGGAGAAAAAAATTAATTTATAATTTGCATAATGATAAATGGGGGAGCGGCTTTAAAGGCGACTACAAATCAAGGCGACCAAATGGCAAAAGTGAATTCAAAAAGCGAAGCCAAGTCAACGGGAAATAATTCATGGTCCCATTGTGGAGCCGGGAGTCGTGGCTCTGATTTCGTAGTGAAAGTCAACCGAGTCATTTGTCGTCATAACTTTTGTCATTAAAAGCAGTCCACAGGCGGCGGGAGAAGGACTATCGCCCCGGGCTCCTCCTCCATGCCCCAGGAGATGGCGCAGTCGGAGTGAAGGAGAGTGGTGCGGGACCGGCTACGTGCCGGGACGGACAAAGGCAGATCCCGTCAGCGCTCCGTCTGTGTATACATTTTTCATAACATGCTAAAATTTATACACAAGTCTGCCAGTGTGGTTGCCACACGACATCCAAGTCACGTTTCTTAATATGTCTGTGTATGCGGCCGCCAGGATAAGTGTCCAAGTTGGTTTATGTGGGCGAGTGGGTGTGCGTGTGTGTGAGTCTAACACATTTTTAATTTATTTTTACCATCCCTCCATGGAGGTGGCGTGGCGGTTCCAGCCACAGCCTCAGGCAGCGGGTTAAGAGTCTGCTTGAACCCTCAAGAGGCGGTCAGATGCAGGCTTCTTGAATCTTGAATCTCAGACTCAAACTCAAAGTCGAAGTCGAACTCGAAGTCTGAGTCCTTCAGTGTTGTCTTCACCAAAGTGAACAATAGCCACTTTTGGGCTTTTGTTTCCATTTTAACCCCTTCTATGTATTGTGTATCACTTGTTATTCGTAGTTCAGAAAAATTGTAATATAATTCTAAAAAAGCAGGCTTTGAGTTTTACTTCACATACAACAAATGAAAAAGTAACTTTCATCCAAACTTCATTCCTATCTCTGACTGCCACTGGACTAGAACAGTTTCTCTATCAAATTAAAAAAAGAAGGAAAAAAAATAAATCTTCAATTAAAATGATGGAGGAGGAGGATACATGTGAAGCAGTGCATGATGTCGATCTGTTAACGCCCAACGAATGGATCAAGAATATCCTCAGTTTTGGAGTCATGGGCATCGCTTTAATTTACTTGCTGTACGTCCAAGTAGTCGAACGCCAATGGCTGGGACGTGTACGTAATTTTTTCGGGAGAAAGCCGGACCCATTGGCCCTAGAGTCTGATGGCAGTGACGAGGACGATAGCATTATACTAGAAGACGATGAATTTCTATTTAGGAATCTCAATCCTAACCAGAGCGTGGAGCAGTATCGCCGTCAGCGTTTCGAGGCAGCCGCTGCAGCATTGGATCACTCTGGAGTCCAGGAGGTGTATAATTTACCCATAGAGGCAGAACCACTTCGCCGACGCGAAAATTTGGATTAGAGGACTGGAATTATGCCATTCAACTCTTAATCCACGAATGTCACAATAAATAGAACAATTACGGAACGGACATTTGAAGACCACGATCTCCGTATCCGTCGACTTAATAAAATTCCCGGCCCAGCCGTAATCCTTTGAAATTAATTTGCTGCCTTTGTCTCTGGGTCTGTGTCTCGGGTCTTACAATTTCGTTGGCCATTTTAATTGGTTTGCGAGCACATAAGCCGGCCATAAGTCGCCAGGTGAAACAGTGGCAACGGGTAAAAATGCGTATATACACTACCATATATATGTATATGTTGGTATATATTTGCTCAGCTGTCTCGGGACAAGATGCAGCAAGGACTCTGTTTCACGGCCTGGACAATTGTGGCAAATGGAAGGCGCTTAAGATTAAAATACGCTCCATGGACTGGATACGATGGCAAAACCACAAAGCAAACACAAACACAAATAGAGATGAGTGGGTACGAGGGTGGGCAGTGGCTCAGAGGGGTTTCAAAAGGGGTCTGAAAGTGACAGAAGTGAAAAAAAAATTAAATACGAAAGTAATAACCAGGGAACAGTAGTCGAGTTTTTAAATGCCCTTAAGCTGGTAATTATGAAAATTGCAAATTATAATAACAGGGGAAAAATAGTAGGTAGTTTAATAAAAATCTTTTTTCCAGGGTATGCATTTTTTTTCCGTTTTTTGTTTGTGAAATCAAAGTAGTCATAATTGTATAATTGACATATGAGAATATTAATTAAGGTCTGGGCCCGATTTTTGGAAACATCGATAGTATTGATGTATCACTCGATGTTTCTGTACCCCTAGTCTAGGGTGTGGCAACTTTTTATTCATTAATTTTTTGCATTTATTTTTCATTAAAAGAGTACCAACCAGTCGACTAGAAGCCATCATTTCCATTATTCAACCGCCCACATGTCCAAAAGCAAACATTTTAAAGTTCAAAGGAAGGTCCTTAACCTGCAGCCGGGGGCGGATTGCACTTGCACTCACGTACATCACTTGCCACCGTTGCTGCTGCTGCTGTTGCTGTTGCTGTCGCCGCTGGAGGAGTTGCTGCTGGCTTTTGTGTTACCACTGCCGTTGCAGTTGCAACTGCTGCAGCTCCAGCTCCACCAGCTAGCTGCTAAATGAAGTGAGTGTCAGCGCAAATGCAAACAAATGAGAGCAACGCATAAAGCGAAAAGCAAAAGGCGTCGCAAATCAACAGAGGACTTCCATCAAGTGAAGCGACAGGATCCAGAGTCCCGTTCCTATTTGGCCAACTCCCCTGGCCAGCCAAATGGGGTCAGTGCTCCGGGCTAGCACTCCCATTGTTGCTTAGTTTTAATAATATTAATGCACACTAATGTGCGGAGAAACACATTTAAGTATTTCCCGTTGAGTTGCGACCACAAAAGGTGTTTTAATGAAAGTGTTCTGCCTATTCAGGGAGTTTATTTAGAAATAGAAAATGCACTAGCACTCTAAAAATATTGATTCCAAAAACAAACAATAAAAATTTGAGGGTATTATACTCTGTCCTATTAATCAGAGCCATTAACTAAGTAAAGATGGAGAGTTTTTCAACAAAAGCGGATTAAATTATAAATAAAGCTTTAAAACAAAACAGTTGCTGTAAATATTTAAACTTCTGAATTTTACGGAAACTTTATCAAAACTTCCAAGTCTTCTTAGTTTTTGCCACTCTCTCTGCCATTTGGCTACTATGCATGGACAATTTTATATTTTTCCTTTTCAGCATTTCCATTTCATTAGTTTTTCGGACCCGTCTTTCATTGTTTGGACCACAAATGAAATTTTTAATTAAGAAAGCTGGCCAGAAGTGGAGCGAAGACTACGACTTCGACTTCGATGAGTTGTCGAGGCAAAAGTACATATTTTATAAGCCACCCAAAAAAAAAAAATAATAAAATAAAAGAGGAAACTTGGCCAACACCCATTCGAGTTTGCTGCCATTTGTTGGTTTTCATAAACTTTACGCATTTTGCGCTCATTGGAGCGAAAGTTCGCTTCTGCAGTTTGCAGTTTGCATTTTGTTTTAATTTATTTTTTTCTTTTTAAAGCTCATTAAGCGCATTTGCACGCTTCTGTGCATTGATTAACAATGGAAATAATAAAAATTAATCATATAATGAATTTATATTGAATTAATATTAAATTTAGTTGCCATTATCGTGTGGCCGCCAAAGTCAAACAACAGCGTAAACGAAATTGATTAATTCCATCATGGGTTTGTGCTCCAACGCTTTGCTGGATTAAAACATTGTGTTTATTTGTCGATAAAATCATAAATAAATAATAAATACTGAATGTAAATGTGAAACAATGGCTATAATTTCATACTGACAGGCTAAATAATTACCGCCTGACCCGAAAAATTACAAAATATAAATGTCATTTATCCCTATAAAGTAGATACCTTACATCGTATTTATTTTAATAAATATTTGCTTAAAATAGAAGAACTTTAAAATGAGTTCGTGCAGTCTTAGGATAAAGGTTTGTCATAAAAAATTCTCTTTTATTGTTGCATACAAATAATATGTAATTGAACGTTTTGTTACAGTATTATTTGCATAATAATGGGAATATTAATATCATTTTCCGTAGCGTTGACTTTTGTTCAATTTTATTTGAACATGTTTTATTTCATTATTTGTCCTTTGCTTTGGCTTATTATGCCATCAGACGAGCCAGGCTGGGGTATTCTTTCTCAGGAATGTCTATATGTGCACGAGTATATGGGGAAACCCATGGCATTGTCGTGAGCTCGCATTACACAACGGTGTGAATATTTAAATGGAATAAATGGAAAATTGCATTGCAAAAGGGGCATGGACTTGGCGATGGGCGTGGCTACGTGTCGCCTGGTATTTGCCTTTCACTTACATTATTCTTTCCCCAACAGATGGCGGGAACCCTGGTTGACACATTCACATAGTACATATGACACACACATTTGTCTAGAGCGTATTCATCGATGCATTCTCTATCCTGAAAGGAGCATACACGATAGGGCATTAATAAAGGGATTTTCCAGGTACTTTCAGAAAAGATTACTAAAACTTTTGTTTGGGAACAAATATTTGTAGTTCAAGATATCAAAAGAACTGAAGGGTTTCAAGTTAATAGCAGAAAAGTTATCTAACTATTAACCTAATATAAACAAAGTGCATTTAAGGATATACACATCCTTCAGGGAAAAAGCATTCGCTCCTTTAAATTTTCTTTGGTTTCCATTTCGAGTTTGCATTTGTGCCCAGCAAACTCATTCAAGTGGCATTATAAACTAAGTTAAGGCGTCAATTTCTTTGGTACCGTATTGCTTATTTGTTTGCAATTCCTTGTCGCTGCAAATCGAGCTCCTGTCGTTGCCATATGCAAACCATTTCAGATGAAATTGTCAGGATCAGCTAAAGTTTTCCAAGCTTAAAGGATGTGTGTGGATTCTAGGGAAGAAGACTTCTCAGTTGGGTTCAGTAGTTGGAAGCCACGTATTACAAATTAAATTCTTTTAAAAAGGTCAAATACTTTCTCATACTCAATAGCTTACTTGAGATGCAAATTTTTTATTACTTGAATTGACTCAAGTTGGCATTTGTCTGAGTGGCACACACTCGGCAGTCTCTGTCTCGGTCGGCAATTAGGATGCACATTAATCATACGCCAAGTTGCCAATAAACTTGTTGAAGACATGAATCAGCGACAGTTCAACGACATCAGAATTTGGAGTTATTCGAGTGCACTCGAGAAAATTAAGAAAATAAATAAATTAAACATTAATATCTAAGATTATTAAAACAAACACTAAAACTAAAACTACTAGACTTTACTTTACCCCATAAATAAACTTGTAGAAACATTAAAGCTAGACCCTATTTTCTTCAGTGCATTGTCTAAACCGCCTTGATCTCTTTCGAGGCAGTCTTGTGTTCTTGTTGACTTTGCATTATCTTAATTGTGGCCTGTTTGGGGCTTGGCACGTGTACGAAACAGGGACTGGGCATGTGTGCTCTGCCATTTTGGTGAACTGCGGCTGAAGTGCAGCTAATGGCATTGTTTGCCTTAACCTTTCCCCTACCCCAAGGCTAAATTCTGCGCCAGCCCGCGATGATGGATCGCCGTCGCCAGATGCCGTGGAAAATTGCCTAATGCCAGCCATGCCAGCCAGTTGTTGGCCGACTGTCAGTTTGGTTTGGTAGTGCGACAATGACAGACAAGGCCCGTTCCAAACTGTTTCGCTTCGGACTCGAATCCCACCGCATCCTCTTTGCTCATGGTCCTTTATCTTCTGGCCCCGTTTGCAGGATGTGCGAACAGCTGTTGTCGCTCCTGCCTCGGCGAGAAATGTCCTGTTTCGGAATGTTGTGCCTGGTTCGGGGACAATGAGGTTCGTTAAAAAACAAACAATGATTATATAGTGAAATTATATAGAAATAATTATAATAAAATAAAAACGAAATTGTTATAGAGAGAGCAGAAAAGACAATAAACAAAAATGATGGACTCATAAACTACTCCGTTAATCATAAAATTTATATTTGAAAATCTGGAATATTTCAAAAGTAAATAATGGGTAATAATAAATATCAGAATTAAAGCCAGACCGGAGGGCAGGCAGTAACCATTGACTAATCAACAAGGCAGAGCAGCTTTTGTTACCAGGAACACACTTCATAATTCGCATGCAAGACACATCAATTCAGGGCCCGAAAGCAAAAGGCTGACAAAGTGTTTTTCACCAATGAATAACCCACTCCAGTTCTACCGAGTCTCTCCCAGCATGACGGTCGAGTGCCTGAGCATTTGAGTGTCTGTGGGCCTGAGTGTCTGAGTGACGGACTGACGGACTTCCTGACAGCCAATAAATGTCACTTTGGCCCGGCCGAGATGCATGAATACATCTGTCGACTCCCCGAACAGGACCGCCCGGCAACTCTCCAAAGTGCCAGCTTATAAAGTCCTGCTGCTGCGTCGCCCAGATAATTGACAGCGATGTGACAAAGAAATTGAAACAGACAGTTGCCTAGAGGGGAATTTAAAGGTGACTTCCTTCGAATTACAATGCCATGGAGTTTCAAAATGCTAAGTGGAAGCGAAAATGAAAGTTGGTTGTCCAAACTAAGTAGAA